CCCCCCTAGCCCCATTTAATTAAAGGCAGTTTAGTTTTATAAAGAACACTTTAAAACGTTTTGCGAAGCGTTTGCGGTTGAATTTTACCTTAAATTGAAGCTTATATTACGTGTAATAACATACCTAACATATATATGTTGGGAAATTGATAATTTTGTAAATAAAAGTAATATTTTTAGGCGATTTTTCATTTGTAAGAATATTCTTATAAAATTATCGTGTTACCATGACAACTACTTTAGATACTTCATGTTCGGAAAATACAATGGTTTTGTCAGCAAGGCGAGGGTTCTGCATGCATGTATTTTCTAGTATGTACATTTATTAGACCTAACCAGGAACAGCTGTGAAAAGTGCAACTTTGGATCCCTGGCTGGAATCGAACCAGCAGCCCTGCGATTCCCTTGCAGCGCTCTAACCAGAGACCTTAAGATGTAGGACGGTAAAGCGACGACGACGGCCCAAAAATATTCATTCAAATAAATTATTGTAAAGAAAGCTTATCGTATATATGATCAAGCGTATGAATTTAAAACAGCTTGACGATATCAAAGCAAAGGCTTTCTATTCAGTAAAATTTCACATTAATACTGAACAAATTTTCTGGATATCCAATTCTTACGCACCCAAAATGCAAACGTTGTACACAGGACGTAAAAACTCTGGTTTATCGGTTGTAAACAGATCGTGGACGACGTATAAACCTTCTGTGGTATTTTAATTATACATTTCGTTTCTTAAATATTATTAATTTTATTGTACTACGTCACGTTGCCGTCCTATATCTTATGGTTCCCATTAACTGAGCTACAGAGGCCATGCATGCAGTTGTCGAGCTCTAATCGCAAGTTCAGGAATCGATTCCTATACCAGTGACCTAAAGTTGCATTTTTCGCAGCTGTTCCTGGTTAAGGTCTAATAAATGTGTATAAATTTCCACTCGAAAATTTCCATCTACAGTACCCGTCAACTATATATTATTCAATTGAGTGAGATGTCAACAAAATCTTGATAAGAAATTCATAGTTTGGAATGCTAGTTGTAATGATATTGTACCACTTTCGACTTTCGTTCCCTTCATGGGAAAATTTTAGAAAGGTCAGTAGAGTCATATACTGATTTTAATTTTTGTCCATATGTTTTACTTTATTTTTCCCCTTGTTTAAATGCTATACCAGGTTAATGGTTTAACATGCTCTCATGCACCTGACTTTTTATGTATATATTTTAAATAATGCAGCTTGGCCACTTTGCACGTGTTTATCTGTAGAGGTCATGGTTTATATACATAATATGTATGTCTTACGTAATCTAAATTACATAGGCGGAATAAAATACAAAATGGTAAAATGTTCGTTAAATCAAATTGAATTTCTTCTTTTATTACAATGAGACCACCAAGTTAGAAGAAGTGAAAGTATAGCAGTGTCTTATATATTTTTTCCATACTACTTCCAGGTCTATTATATGGTTAAATATAAATTATTTTCCTTTCCTGTTATAGGGCAAGATTTTGGATTCTTTACGTAAACTTCTCCCCTATAAACTGAACAGTAATGATCAAAAGAAGGTAATGGTTGATAACTATGTTAATTGTCACTATTGTTGTCGCTGTCGTTGTGATTGTTGTCGTTGTGATGGCTATCGTCATCGTCGTCGTCGTCACCATTGTTTTTCCATTTGTTATTGTTGCTGTTCGTTACTGTAGGTCGACGTCATCGCTCTTCCTCTTCTTATTTGTTGTTGCTGATCATGTTTGTTATTCTTTTGTTAGTAGCTTTCGCCGTCGTAATCGACGATGTAATAGTAAATACAACGGTTTTGCCTGGCAAAGCAGAAAGAATTTTATCATCAAATCAAAACAAACATTCTTAAAAACCAGGATATAAAATTATCTAGATTTGTTGCTCGTCATTTGCGACAGAATATTATATGCATATGCGTGCATTATTGTGCAGCGTTTCATTTATATATATGCAAATAAATGCTCTGCAGATAATGGACTGAGTAACATACCTTTGATTTTCATCTGTTTCGTTTAAATTTTTAAAAAACTTGAATATGTTTAAAATAAAAATTATTTCATCATTTTGACCTGCATGGTGACTTTGAGTCTTTGATCATCTTGCCTGTAGTCGGGGCGGGTACTGGCGCGCGGGGATGGAGTAGCGCGGGTTGTAGCGGGGGTAGTAGCGGATAGAAATGGATAGCGAAAAGAAAACGATGTGTTCTTAAAAAGACAATGCTTTTCCCTTTTTCAACCTGTTAAAGTAACTACATATAGGCGAGCGTTAGGTGACCTTGGCATCTATATCTTTGATTTATTTCGCTTTTGCCCATGCTGTTGCTTTTGTTAATTTTATTGTGCGGCTTCTTAGGTATCGCCGTCAACATGCTGCAGAAAACCAAGTTTAGAAGAAACACTGTTTAATGTTACCAAGGACGTCATTAGACTTGTCAATTCAAGCATCTTTAAGCAGACGTTTAAAGTGTCAATGGAAAGCTTTTTGGGTATTTTTTATCACATCTTTTTACGCAAAAATCTCCAATTTTTCAATTTTCATGCGCAATGTAATTTTCAATCATAGACCCTTTTAGCGAAGATGTGAGTCCCGTCAAAGCATTTTGCATTGGTTATGACTCAACTTTATTTGGAAACCGCAAATACATTTACCGTACCTGAACTCCGTAAAGATATATCTAGTGATAAATGTTATTTTTGTAACAATTTCAGTTAGGTCAGAACGAACTGCATGGGAAAGATTAAAATCTTCAAATATGATGGAGAAAAGTTCTGCTTTGCGAGAAGTTTTTTATTCGAAAACTTTGGTGAAATCTCTTCTTTTCTAATTCAGATGTGGAGGTGAACACCAGAAGTCTCGAAAAGCTACGCCAAACAAAGAAAGAAAATCTAATGTCAACGCCGTTCATGACTATTGAGAATGAGTGTCAAAACCAATCAGATTGTAAAAAATCTTATTTGTATTTTTAAATTTAACTTTCAAATCATGAATCTGGTAGAAAATAATGAATTTGATAGCACGTTTGATCGCACATTTGATAACACACACAGTAACGATTATTTTGCCTAATTTTCATATTTTGACAAGAATACCAAACGGTTGGCTATTTTGGTATACATAAATTAAATACACATAGCTTTAAAACAGTGCAATAGTTTGTTCATCCAGTATAACATATGAGACTCCGACTGAAGCTGACGGAATTTATCGGGGTATCATTTGTAAAAAATTCAGCACGTGATTGATTTTAGGTACTGTCAAGAAAGTTACAATTCATTTGAAGGATGTCCGTGTGAACTGCAGCTGTTTATGGTATGTACATAATACATAAATTATGAATTATATATACAGTACATGGTTAGGAAGCTTTCAAAATTTCTTGTCGTTTATTGTGTATCTTGTGCATCACGGTCATGAAAAAACTTAAATGTTAGTAATAATGTCTGTTAATGGACCATTCTCCAATTAACCAAAATTTTGAACTCAACAAGTCTAGACAAAAATTTCATCACAGCTTGAAAGAGCATCACAAAATTAGTAATATTCTATATTATCCCCATTTTATAACAAAATGTTGTAAAATGGGGATAATATAGCTTTGCGAAGTTTGCAATTTTCAGTCATTTTAGATTACAAACGGGAAATGGTTACCACTTCTGTGCGTAATACAAAATGACAGAAAATTACAAACTTCGCAAGGCTATATTAATTATCCGCATTTTACAACATTTTGCAACGAAACTTTGGAATATTACTAACTTTGTGATGCTCTTTCAAGCTCTGATGAAATTTTTGTTTAGGCTAGTTAAGATCAAAATTTTGGAAACGTGGTAACCATTTCTCGTTTGTGTTCTAAAATGACTGAAAATTGCAAATTTCGCAAGGCTATATTATCCGCATTTTACAAGATTTCGCAACGAAACTTTGGAATATTACTAATTGTGTGATGCTCTTTCAAGCTGTGATGGAATTTTGTCTAGACTTGTTGAGATCAAAATTTTGGTTAATTGGGGGAATGGTCCATTAATGTATGTGGTATTTTAGCACTTATATTATAAAGTACGTGATACGTGAGCTGGTACTGAATTGAATTTATTCAGTACATTTGGTTAAAGTTATGTTTGTGTATCTCGGGGTCTTATTTTATATTTTTCCTCCATTTTACTGCTTTGCCAGCTTTGGCGTTTGTAATTAAGCAAACTGTAACTTTTTTTGAAATATTGTAGTATATTGGTGCAAGGCCGTACACAGCGGGGGGAGGAGGGGGGGGGGGCAATGGGGCAACTGCCCTTCCAGAGAAAACTATATTTACGATTTTTAGAATGTCATTATTAATTATTCTTTGGACTGATTTGGGACTTTTTTCGGCATATAGCCCTTACTCCCCCCCCCCTGGTGAAAAAATCCTGCATAAGGTCCTGTATTGGTGATTTGTAATCAATTCCTTGAGATTTGTAAGGCAAAGATATGGCAGAAATATACAGTATTGTAATGCTTTCCCATTCGCGCCACCGGCTATGTGCCATAACTGATTGGCGCGAGCGCTAACGAGCGCTAAACAAATATCACTCCCAACGAATCGTGAAGAGACTTCATTTTAAAGAAGATCATATATGTTAGCTGTTATTAATTGTAACAACGTTGTTCACCATGTAGTTAAGAAAGACTGCTAGCGTATCTCAGCGCATGAAAAATATCACTCGTACGCTGGTATACGCTGATATATCCTTGAAGCACGGTCGCATATGGTGGTGTGCCGCTGGCATACAGCCTGGCCAGGCGAGACAGAAACATTTTTTGAGCATGCTTAAAAATTTTGTGCGTATTCGGACGTATGGTTTATACGATAAACCTACTCTAGGCGCACGCTGAATACGCTAGATGGTACGCCGCATGTACGGTACTCATACACTGGCATTTCAAGGGATGGAATCCAGTCTTCTACAAAGCAAGTTCCATCTTGGCAACGATTCCAACTACGTCATGTTCTGCAAAAAGATCTTTCAGTGAGTAATCATGCTGTATAACTGTTGAACGTTTGCTTCGTTTGGACTTTTGGAATTCCTCAAGCCTTATTTTTCAAGATCGAAATTCTCGGTGATCACAATTTACAAACTAATGGCTAAACATGTCGGGAAATTAGTGATTAAATGTCCCCTTAGGCTTGGGAGGATTCTTCCTTCGCCTTCAGGACATTTAATCACTAATTTCCCTCATGTCATGCTATTACTTATAATTATCGACAACTAAAGGATAACATTTTTTGTTTAGGAATTTGACGTCTTCTATTGCCGACATTATAGTATTGGATTATATTGCAAATGGACAACTGCTATTAAAACTAGACGGAAATGAAACGGTATCTTTAAACTTTCCTAAAAAGCTGAATGTTGAAAAAAAACAAGTAAGAAGTGCTCAATTAAATCTGTTCTTTACCTAATTTAGCGTGCTTTTGTCCATATAAATGGGTGCACAGATTCAATTTTTTGCGTATTAGGGTCTTTTGAATGATACCATTTTTGTATACTTTAATTCACGCAAAAATGCAGTGGCGGCGCCAAGCCTCCGAATTGGGGCATTTGGGGTAACTGGCATATTTTGGGAGGCAAGATAGAATTTTTAAAAAGGTCGCCCCCCCCCCAGGAGATTCGCCCCCACTCAAAAGGCCCCGGGGGCGAATATCCTAGGAATATCGCCGAACAGGGGTGGCGAATACCCTAGGAATATCGCCCCTTTATGATATTCGCCCCCCCCTCCCATATATGCGATGTGGTTTATTCAAATAATTTCGTGATACTTTCATCTTATTAGTGCCTTACACGTTTGAGAATTTAATTCTGCAAAACTAAAGCTTTTTTTGTCTTTTTTGAAACGTATTATTGGAGTACTGGCAAGTTTTACCATTCAGACATTTATAAACTAATATTGAAACTGTGAAAAACAGTTTCATGTATACGCGCATTCACTAATGAGTAATAACAACTTATAAGCCATACATTTTTCGATAACGATAAAACGCTTGTGTAGCTTTTAGTCGCTCTTAGTGACTAATAAGTTTTTTGAGGGGGGCAAAATGGGGGGGGGGCAAAAAATAATTTGTGGGGGCATTTGCCCCCCCCCCCTCCTTGCCCCCTTAGCGCCGCCGCAAATTTCGAAACCGTCGACGGTCGAGCACATCATTGATGGTCGAACACATCATTAATCTCGTTCCCAGATCGCGCTAGCGATAATTAGCGCGTGAAACCATTTGGTGACATCTAACACCAAGTCGATGAAAAGATTTCGCGCGGCATGATAAATAATGTTCAGATTTTTGAAAAGATGGCGGGTAGCAGTGGAAACGCAAAGCAGTCGATTCGGTTTACCGGTTATCATGCCTTCTACAAGAGTGTTGCAGTAAGTATATTTTAAGATTTATTATTTTAATGTTGAAGTATCGTAAAATATTACAAATAGATTGTAGAAAACCATCTCAGAACGAAATACAGAGCACTTGGAAGATGCCAATATTAGCAACAATATTAGTTCCATATCGTTAAAGTCGTTAAAAATAAAACAGCGTAAATTTAATTGAATTTCAAGCGAATCCTTCGTAGTGTAATGGTTTAGGCACCCGTAATGTGTGCGCCAAGTTTCTGGGATCGATTCCTGCTCGCGCTACTATTTTATTATTTTTTTTTATACTTTTTTTTCTTCGTGATTTTCGCTTACGCACCGCGTACGAAACGTATAGCGTATCGAATATGTTGTTGCTTTGTTCTTAAGAAACAACGCAACCCTTTTAGTGGTTTAGTGTTAGCTTTTAAAGCGTTGTCGGATGAATAGCCGTGAAGCACGAAGATCCGGTGTCGGACGAATATCCACGGGGTACTTTGTATTACTGCTTGTATTATTTTGTGCGAGATTTTGTGTTCAATATATAGACCACAGTAAGGCTTTTTTTAATGTGTTTATTACATTAAATGTGTTTTTTAAATGTGTTTATTAAAAAAGCCTTACTGTGATCTATATATTGAACACAAAATATACTATAAAAATGAGGCTTAGAAAAAGCAGCTTGTATTATTGTTGCGCGCTCTCGGAATCTGGGAACGAGATTAATGATGTGTTCGACCATCAATGATGTGCTCGACCGTCGACGGTTTCGAAATTTGCCACGGCACCCCTTGCTAGACGTGCCGAGTCTACCTCGTGAGAAAGTCTCGGCACGTTTAAATTTTGCGGCACCGGTGCCGATTTTTGTCACGTTTACACTGAAGGCATAGGTGCTGTGCCTAAAATTTTAGGGTGCCGTGCCCAAAACACTGGTCGTGTAAACCGGCCTATAATCACTAATCTCCCGAAAAGCCATGCTATTAGTTTGTAATAGCATAGTTGAGTTCCCATTTAAAAACGGACAAACATACACCCTACTTGCAATCAGCGAATTTAGGCTAAAACATTTGCTTCTTTGCTTGTGGGATGTTTTTAAAAAGCATGTTGCACATGCGCACTTTTTACACTTTAATCGGTTACGCATGCGCAATCTATCATTTAACGTACCACAACAAAAACGATAAATATATTAGTATAAAATCGGAGAATGCACGTACGAGCGTAATTTAAATGATGCAACAACTCAGGGATCGGGTGATTACGGAAGCCGTGAAGGGACTTCAGACTTCAAACTTCAAACATTGGTTCCTTCCGAGCTTCGCTAATACCCAACATTGCTTTTGCGAAGCTGGCTAATATTTCAGGCACTTATTCAGTCCAAGCTATTAAAACTAAAGTCAAAAATGGTAAGCACGATTTAGACTGTAAATGCAGATTGTAGTGTTGGAATATGATTCTATATAAGCAAATTTATATATAACAATATATAAATTCAAGTTAATGAGACAACACGTTTGTCACCTTCAAACCTAGTTATAATCTCATAGTAACAGGATAAGCTTGTCAACAGCCACAAAAAGGCGATATCCAATAGTCCAAAGTTCAAATGTTTCTCTGGGCATGTGTAAAACCGAATGAAAGATCAACTGACCAATCATATGTCAACAACGAACACGCAGAACAAAGGTCAATGTGATAAGGGAGTTCACTTTGACAAATATCCCAACAAAGAGCAATGTCTTGTTACCGAGAAAGAAAATTTGAAAATTTGACTTGGTGCGGAGCTGTAAAGAATTACGGACATCGAATGAACTGAGACAATGTGACAGAAAAGAGTTTATGAACGCTGGAATTGACATATCATGGTTATATTAAAGAAAATTTGGTCAGTAACTCAGTGTCTCAGTATGATAATTCAGTGAGACGCAGTTTATTCAAATAGAACTCTACCGGACAAGCGCTTTTACTCTTCTGGTGGACAAAGGAATACGTTGGCCCAAGTCCCGACGAAGTTATTACCATTAAATGAAACCGCCGCTGGGGGAATAACAACAAGATCGATAGGCTAAAGCCGCTAAACACGAAATCAACAAGCGTTCAATTGATATCATTCCATGTCTCAAACTCTCAATGCACATGCTTCCTAAAGTGAAGCGGTATTCGGCGCGTAAGTATGCGTTGCATTGACTGTCAGACACGTTTGTTTCGTATTCCGCATCTCAAACCAACCAAAATGTATTAAAATTCGTCTATTTTATAACAACATTCTGGTGTATTTATATTTGTCGATCAAAAATTCCAATGACAATTTTATTACTACCTTGAGGTTAGCCGCAGAGTAAAGGCTTCAGATTACGCCTCAGATTTGGCGTTGGATTAGGTTTCAATCAGGCCTTACATTAAACTGTATTCAATCGCTCAAAAGTAGAATTATAAAACTTCTTTTTCAGCTATTTCACAAAATTAATTTGACCTGCATACATTTTCAATACATTACTATTCAAAACTTAAGAAAGCAAGCTCATTTGTGAACGAAATTTGAGACTTAAAACTCTGCACATGATACATGTTTATGCACATTTGCGATAAATCGGCAAGATGGATATCGGGAAAGATTGGTACGATACCATGTATGCCTATGTAGGATGCCCATTAGCAATACGTCGTGTAACATTAGTTAAATAGGAACTATTGCGTCATGCAGTTGTGACAGTTACCATAGTAACGAGAAAGGACAGACAAACAGATTTCCAAGATGGCGATTAATAAACTACGTTGTTATTAATGTTCACATTGTTTTACGAAATAAATTGTGCTTTCTACTGTTTTAATACTTGAATTATGGGATAGATCGAGAATTTAGTGAGCGGGCAACAAATTGGAGATCCCACCGAGACTTTTATACATAAAAGAAGCTGTGAATGCGAAGGAAAAAGTATATTTTTACGCTTTTCTAAATTCTTGATTTTCGTATTTTGATCTTTGCTTTTGGTGATTTGCTGTTTGCATGATTTTTAACCATATTGATAAAGAATTGATGGACAAAAACGAGGAACAACGAATGTTATTCTTGACAGAATTTCGCTCACGTTACTTTAAGAGCACAGAACCAAAAGAAAAAGATGTTTCAGAATCAGTACCCCCTGTAAAACAAAACGCAGGACAAAGTCAAAGCACATTACAAGGTATGTTAGAATCTACAAGTGTATTTCGTCGACAATTTAAGATTGTGGGACAAATTGGGCAGCCAAATGAAAAAGACAAGTTGAGTTTCACATCCCTGACAAGACAAATTGACACTGGGGTTAAACAGGGGTACACAGAACAGGAAATTGTGGACGGTGTTATTCGTGCAATTAATGGTGGAATAGTTCTTCGAAGTTATGTAGAAACTTACAAGGATCTATCTCTAGAGCGGTTACGAAAAATTCTTCGAAACCATTATGATGTAAAAAGTGCAACTGAGCTATATCAAAGTCTTGCATCAATATGTCAAGGGTCAAAGGAAACACCACAAGAATTCCTTATGCGTGCCTTGGATTTACGCCAGAAAATCCTGTTTTCAAGCACTCAAGATCAAAGTGAGGACACTTATGAAAATGATCATATTCAAAAGCTGTTTCTACGTACTGTTGAAACTGGCCTTCAAGATGAAAATGTTAGAGTAAGGGTTAGGGGGTACCTCAGAAACCCCACAATATCAGATGAGGAGCTTATTTTGCAAGTAAATAATGCAGTGTCGACAGAGAATGAACGGGTAAGAAAACTAAGAAACCAGAACCGCCCAAAGCCTGCCCAGGTAGCAGAGAAAGCTGAGTCCCAAGATAAAATTCTAAAGACTCTGGAAGCACTGAAAGTTGAAGTGGCACAAGTTAAGAGTCAGTTGAAGGATATCAACCAAGAAACTGAACAAGCTCGATTACCAAATTCGCCTGCGCCAGTAGACACTAGAAACCAGAGAAGAAATATGCCTCCAAAATGCTTGCAGTGCCAAACTAGTGGAAATGACAAATGCTCTCATTGTTTCATTTGTGGAAGTGACAATCATTTTGCAATTGGATGTCGACAGAATCGTGGAAAGAATACTTTAAACTCCAGGAGGCTGCCTCTCCGGGGCCAGAAGTAGCCGAAAAAAGTTTGCGGTTCCAACGATGTAGTTATTGTGGCAAGGACGATGATCAAATGACATTGTACCGTTGTGCACAATGCAAATGTATAGTTTATTGTTCAAAAAATTGCCAGAAAAGACACTGGAATGATCATAGGAACAATTGTAAAACTCTTCGGGACCTGACATGGGCATGTCAAAACAAAACACGCAGCAATAATAAGACATTTACCAGTCACCTAACTCCTAGTGAGCATGCAAAGATTGCTAAGCTAGTAGGAAGACGGTGCACTGTAAAGTGTTCTCTAAATGAATTTGAGTCAACAGTATTATGGGATACGGGTGCACAAGTATCTATTGTGTCCAAAGAAATGATAGAAAAACACTTTCCTAAAAATGTTATAAAGAACCTTTCAGAACTTATTAATGGTGAATTGGATTTAACAGCAGCTAATGGTACACGAATTGCGTATAGTGGTTGGACTGAGATAGAAGTTAGATTGATTTCATCAAAAGAAAAAGATCCATCGGTTATGGTTCCTTTCTTAGTAACAAACGACAGTTTAGAATATCCCATTCTTGGATACAATGTTATTGAAGAACTAATCAAGCCGATGAATACATCTGATATTCAGTCAGCACATATTGCTACAGTACAAGCTAGTTTTCAAGGTTTTGATGAGAAAGTGTTACTCGAATTGGTTAGACTGATACAGACAGCAAGAGCAAATGAACTATGCACGATTAAGAGCCCAAAGAAAGACTTTGTTATTCCGGCAAAGAAAACATTTAAAGTTAACTGTCGAGCGAATACTGGAACGGTAGAAGAAACTACACTTGTTTTGTTTGAACCGGACGAATTAACGCCCTGGCCAGACGGTTTATCGGTGCACGAAACGGTAACAACAGTGAAACAAGGCTCAACGTCTCAAGTAAAGATTGATGTGACTAATACAACTAATCATGACATTAATACAACTAATCATGACATTGCGTAAACACACAGCATTAGGAAGTCTTCAGTTAATTAAATCGATTACACCTGTAGAAGTGAAGTTGGCAGAAAAGTCAAGCAAAGAGAAAGAACGAACAGTAACAGCCACACAATCCCAAGTGAATGCAATGGCGAAAGAAACTCGAGAAAGAGACAATACAAATGATGACCAGTTTTTACCTGAAGTTGACCTTAGTGGATTAACAGAACGTCAACGTCAAGTAGTTACTAACATGTTGAAGGACGAATGTCACTCTTTTGCAAGAAATGATGAGGATATCGGTTATATCAAAGATCTAGAACTAGAAATAAATTTGACAACAAACGAGCCAGTGCAAAAGAACTATGTATCGGTACCAAGACCTCTCTACCCGGAAGTAAAACAGTACATTGAAGATTTGTTAAATAACGAGTTTATAAGAGAGTCAAAATCAGCTTATTCATCCCCAGTAGTATGTATTCGCAAAAAGGATGGAACTCTGCGACTTTGTGTCGATTATAGAGAACTTAACCGTAAGACAGTGCCAGATAGGCATCCTATTCCGCGCGTCCAAGAAACTCTCGATAGTTTAGGTGGTAACGCTTGGTTTAGTGTATTGGACCAGGGTAAGGCGTATCATCAAGGATTTGTGAAACCATCCTGCCGACCGTTAACAGCATTTGTGACACCCTGGGGGTTATATGAATGGGTAAGAATTCCATTCGGTCTTATGAACGCCCCAGCAAGTTTTCAGAGGTTCATGGAACAGTGTTTAGGAGAATTACGTGATGAAATTGCCATTCCTTATTTGGATGATGTGATCGTATTTAGTAGAACATTCGACGAACATGTCGAACACTTACGAACAGTTTTACGTCGCCTAAGAGAACACGGTGTCAAATTAAAGCAAAGAAAATGTAAATTGTTCAAAGGTGAAGTCACATTCCTCGGTCGAGTAGTATCGAAAGATGGCTACAGAATGGATCCCGAGAACATTAACGTAGTTGCGAGTCTAAAGAACAATACTCCTCATACAATAGGAGATCTTCGGAAAATGCTTGGATTACTCAGTTACTATCGTCGTTATGTACCCAATTTCGCGCGAAAGGCTAAACCATTATACGACCTTGTTACACAAGCAGCAACAACAGACCCGTGTCATGATCAAGAGAAAGGTAACAAAAACACCAGAAAGAAAGGTCAAGTGATCATTCAAAATCGCGTGGACTGAGATACATCAGACTGTGTTAGAGAAACTCATTGACCATCTGATAACACCTCCGGTTATGGCATATCCAGATTATCAAAAACCCTACATCGTGCACACGGATGCCTCGAAAGACGGTCTAGGTGCTGTCTTATACCAGGAACAGGAAGAGACAATGCGAGTCATTGCCTACGCCTCTCGAAGTCTGACGAATGCAGAAAAGAACTACCACCTCCACGCAGGAAAATTAGAATTTCTGGCACTCAAATGGGCAATCACTGACCACTTCCGTGATTATTTATATTACGCGCCTGAATTTACGGTTTATACCGATAACAATCCATTAACATACGTTTTAACATCTGCACGACTTAATGCCACAGGCTTAAGATGGATTGGAGAACTGGCCGACTTTAAGTTCAACATCCGTTATCGTCCAGGAAAACTCAATGGAGACGCCGATGCATTGTCCAGAATGCCTATGAATATTGACGATTATATGAAAACATGCAGTGAAGATGTTAATCGCGACGCTTTCCAAGCGACTGTTTGTGGAGCAAAAGTACAGGTCGAACAGTTTCAAACACCTTTGCTCTTTCCTCCTGAGATTACTCGAGCGGATGTTAGTTTAAACCAAGCATCTATAAATTTGAAGACAGCACAGAATGACGACGCAGATATTGACCGCGTCATAACACTTAAAATAGCGAACACGTATTTGTCTCCTCATGAAAGAAAGCAGGAAAGCCACACTGTACAGCAGCTGTTAAGAGAATGGAATAAGTTAAAAGTGGGGACCGATGGAGTTCTGTACCGACTAGCAGGAACAGTCCGTCAAGTTGTACTACCTGGACGTCTACGTCAACAAGTTTATAAAGAGTTGCATGAAGAGATGGGTCATTTGGGTTCTGAACGCGTCATTGACTTGGCTCGAGAACGATTTTTTTGGCCTCACATGAAACAAGATATAACTCACTACGTCACGAAAGTCTGTCATTGCTTAAAGAGTCGGAAACCCGTAAGAAACCAACGTGAACCATTACATCCAATCGTAACCACCGCACCCTTCCAAATGGTTTATATCGACTACCTTCACCTCGAAACAAGCGTAGGAGGCTATCAATACATCCTGGTTGTTATGGACCACTTTACGAGGTATGCTCAAGCTTACGCGACTCGTGACAAATCAGCCAAGACCGCTGCAGACAAACTCTATAACGACTTTATCTTGCGCTATGGCTTCCCTGAGAGGATACACCACGACCAAGGTGCTGAGTTCGAGAATAAACTTTTCTTTAACCTGGAAAAAGTAAGCTGAATTAAACACTCTCGGACAACCCCTTATCACCCCTAAGGTAATGGGCAAGTTGAACGATTTAATAGAACGCTCTTGTCAATGCTTCGGTCCTTGCCAGAAAAATACAAAAGTCGTTGGCGTGATCATCTCCAGAAAGTCGTACATGCATTCAATTGTACCAGAAATGACGCGACAGGATACTCCCCATTCCTCCTACTCTTTGGCAGACCCCCGCGATTGCCAATTGACCTTGTGTATGGTCTGAAACCCCCACCTGGCCATAGCACTTATCCTGAATATGTCAAGAAATGGCGAGAATCGATGTCCGAAGCATACCAACTTGCATCTGAAAAGGCAGAAAAGAACGCTACGAGTGGGAAAGTGCAATATGACAAGAAAGCTAAGAGTACGAGTCTACAA